GACACGTTCTTTTCCTTGCATGTGGCTTTACTGGTGTTTGAGGCATTCAGGATTTTCTGAGGGCTGTTTGGGATCAGCAGGACAGACAGTTTTGCAAACAAACCTTCAATTAAGAACACAAAGGTAAAGGATTGAGCCTCATCCCCCATCCTGAGGTCTCGCAGAGGGACCTGCTCTGAAGCAGAAAAGCATTTTCCATGCTCATGTGGCTAATCTGGGTTTACTCTTTAAAATGAAGATTGCCAAAGGAATAACACAAGCTGGCCCCACTGTGGGACTTGTATTTATACTCTGGCAGCCTGATACTTAAACAAATGTCAGAACGAGCACCCCGGACAGTGGCCTGCAATGCAAACAGCATGTCTGTAGTGCCATAAAGCAGTGAGGAGCTGACTTTGCAAAGAAGGAGCACTTAGCTCTACACTTGCTGCTGGTTATGCTGGGTGTCTTCTCTGCACTGCCCCTCACTGAGCCACCTGCCCATGAAGAAGGCTTGCTCAGTGCTGGGCACTGTGTATGTTCTTCATTAAAGTTTGTATGTTCCACAAAATATGTGGTTTTGATGGTGATTCAGTATAAATGTGGTTCTTTTGGCTTTAATTACTGAGAGCTTGTTGCTGCTGGTGAGCTGCGCTCATCCTGCTTTTGAGCAGGAAACTCATTAATGTGAGTGCTGAGGGTGGTAAGGCATGGGGCACGGATATGAGAACAGGGATGCTCACACTAGTACGCTCCGAGATGCAAGCCTGAAAACAGCAAATTCTCCTGGGTTGCATAAGTAATGGCAGTTACGAAAAAGTAATCTTAAACTGGAACTGGTTTTCTTAATCCCTTGATGCCAGTATTTTACCTAGTCCAACCAAAACACGGTTTGTATCTGGTGGTTGGCTCGCCTCTAAGGAAGGAAAATGATTAATCTTTAAAATATGTCTTAACAAAACAAATCTGACAGGTATGTCTTCCTATTGTAAACAGGACTTGGGATCAGAATTTCTTGTGCAAGTTACCTTTGACAGTTGTTACTAAGCTAGTGCTTCCAAAAAACAATAAATTATTTTTGTCCTTTTTATATTAATAACTCAGTCCCTTGACAGCTGTGATTATACTGAGGTATGTAAAGGACCTTACAAAGGAAAATCCATATTAAAATAAAACTCTTTCAAGTGGGAAATAAGAAATCTATTAGCCCCTCATTTTACACAGTAAATAAAAATCCCTGACCTCCCCCATTCTGCTCATCTATTACCAGTATGTATGGCTAAACAGCTAAGCCCTGCTGCTAACTTTAGCCCAGGCCTGGGGGTGCTAGCATGGGTGCATGCAGCATGGCATCCTTCCCTGGCGCAGGGGCGACGGATGCGACTCCATCTGAAGCAGATCCATGCTGCCGGCCCCTTTGGCTGGAGGAGGTCTCAAGTCACGTTACTGCTTGGCTTTTGCAGCATCTTTGAACACTTCTGTTGCTTGGTGATCCTGGGAGTGATGAGGATAAGAAGTCACAGCAGGAGATGAACTCAAGGCATTGGTGAAGGTAGCTGAATGGTGGTTGAACTCTGGCTGTGTGGTTGGCTCAGAGTGCACTCCTGCCTGTGTGAGAGGTGGGGTTAATTGGGATGGGAGGAGAATCCCAGGAAGATTTGGGAAGCTCTAATGTAACCCTTCAGGAAGGAGTAAGACAAACCAGTCCATGCACCAGCTATAGCAGAAACACAGGAACCAGAGAAACTTTAAAATGGCCAAATGGCAGCTGCACGCAGTGACTTAGGTAAGATTATTGGCCCCTGCAATTTAAAGGCTGGTATTAGCAGTCAGAATGAGGTTCATGAGGGCTGCTGCAGAGCCTGGGAGTGCTTAGCAGGGACACGCGTTCCCAAATGGCTGCTCCACTGGCTCTTAGAGGACGTGGTGGCTCAGGAGTAGGGGTGGAAGAAGCTTGTGTGTGCCTGAAGCCATGTCTGATAGCACAGGGCTAGTATCTGTTTTGCATTCAATTATAATACCTGCTAAAGAATAACCACCTTGGACATTTCCAACTGTCCTCAGATTTTACCCTTGCCTACAGGTAGCCCAGCCCATGGGTGGAAGAGGGAAAATACTCCTGGCAAGCCATTGGAAAGGTCAGCGTTCTTTAATCTGGAGCTGTGACTTAACCAGCTTTTTCCTTTTGATTCATAAGGCAGGGCATGTAGGGATTACCAGTGCTATACATAGATTGCTCTTAGCTGGGAACACTTAAGAGCTGTGTCAACCTCGGGGCTGGGATCTTATGTGCCGTTTGTCCCTTGCTGTTCACCCTGTGCGTAGAGTTTCTCTGCCAGCAGTTGCTGGGTTGCTGGTAGGACCAGAAGAGGACAACTCTGAAGCTGGAAGCACTTGGAAGTTGGGTTTCCCCAGTGGGAAATCCATCCGAAAGGATAAATCATAGAATGGCAGGATAAATCATAGAATGGCTTGGGTTGGAAGGGACCTTTAAACGTCATCTAGTCCAACCTCTCTGCTGCTGCTTCCCAGGATGGGAGTCAAAATGCAACTCTAAACTTAATTTGATGGGTTTTTATTTGAACACAAGGGCTTTTGTGGGGTTTTTTTTGAAGTGCATGTTTAGCCCATCAGGGATTCGGCAGCGGTGTTGGATTGTGTGCGTCCGTGTGTGCACATGGAGATAAGCTAAGACGTAATCCAGAATTCCTCTGCTTGATAGCCCCTTATCTCTGAGCATGTGCTGTGCGTGTTTTCCCTCTTGGTGGGTCTCCTTGGAGGTGCTGGCTGTGTAAACACCATTGCTGTTTTTAATGTTGAAGTTCTGGGAGGCTCCTGAAATAGTGGGGGGGAGCACCCAAAAGTGAGCTCCTGGCCAAGGATGTATGAACAAGCAAACCCCCTATAGCTCGTCAAGGAAATGGCTGGTATCGGTGAACAGGCTTGTTTGAACTTTATTTGGGATACTGTTGAAATTACAGCCTGCTCCACAGAACTCCTTAGCATTTTAGCATGGGATACTCTGATTTCTAACTGTCAGATAGCATGTCCCTGAAGGGGTGCGCGAGGCAACGTGGGCACGTATAGATGTTGAGTATTTTGGTTGCATTTGGCAACAAATGTTCTGTATAAACTACTTAAAATCCTTTGAATTCCAGTGGATCAGACCACAAGCAAGAAATGTTACCCTGGGTGAAGCTGCTTAGCACAGGATTCGTGACTCAACGTTTTTTCATCAAAGCTGGCAGTGCTGA